CAGGACACAGGAAGCCCATCAGCTTCTGCCAGGACACAGGAAGCATAGGAATCATCCTAACTGCCGACTTGATTCCTCTTCTTCCATCCCACCCCACTCCAGGCCTCGTTAAGAGAATGTCAGTAATAAAAGCACGAGGAATATTTGTGGAGTTGCTGAATGGTCGCTCTTCCCCATTCCTCCCGCTTTGGCCTCTATTGATGATTACCCACAATATGGCTTTTTCTAATTGAGAGAGACTTTGAAGTATCAGCATTTCTCAGGAAAAATCTCTGAATGAAAACGTCTTACCTTTGGGGATTGTGAATGGTCTCAAGTGTGTCTCTAAACTGAAGTGAAAACTTACAAAACTTGACGATGTGTCAGTCATCAGCTCCTCAAAGGATAAAGATGGAACCTCTTTGTCTGCTTTTCCACAAATCAATTTCATTTTTGCAGTCTAGTTCCTCTTTCGTCTTCTGCACACACTGATCATGGCCAGACTGAGCAGTGACCACGGAATAAACATGAATTCTAAGTCCTCTACTGAAAGGTAGAGGCTTTAAATGTTTTTATAAATTTTCATTGTTAATTACTAAAGGGGTACACCCACTTGTAAACAAAAACGTATCCATAAAATAACACGAACATTGCAAAGGGAAAAATCTTCATTTCCAGTTTCATTTCTCAGAAAATTCAGGCCAAAAGTTTCATGCATATTCATTGAACTTATTTAAAAGTGAACATATAAACTTACAAATTACACCTGACAAAAATTAGAGCAGTTGATGCATGGCAATGCAGCCAATTGCTGGAGTTTCTTTGTTTTAAGCTTTAAATCCTCTCCAGAAACTGCCAAACCAACTTTGTTACATCTATCCCATTCTTTGTTGTAGTAGTTGTATATTCTGCCAATTAAATGGATTGGGTACGTTTTCAAGCATCTGGTATTGGAAACACTACAATGAATAGGCATATATATATATATATAAAATTTTTAGAGATTATTTTGATAGATACTGCAAACTGCCCTTTGGAGAGGTATTTATCATGATTCTCACTAAGTGCATTAAGACCCCCTCAATGCATAGACCCTTTCGAAGGCCCAGGAAGGATCTCCATGCATGAAACCTGTTCTCATGAATTTTGCAAAAGTATATGACAATAGAAATGAGATAAAACTACTACCGTCTTCTACTCCAACTCATCCTTGGAATGGCCGTATCTGATTTGGTGTTGATAATGGCTATTATTTCTTAAAGAATTACCACACACACACAATTGTTTGACTTCAGACTGGTCCCAAACTGGGTCTGCCTCTGCTGTCTTCCGAAATCTAATTTTTTCTTCCAATAGCAGGTCAAGTGACAGTGCTGTGATTGCCTTGAGTTAGATTTTGCTATTGCCTCGTGTTCAGCGACAACAAGGCTCAGGTTTCTTGATCAGGGTGGACTGACTCACTGAAGCATGAACTGTCTCTCAATTTGGAGCGCTTGCCAAATTTTCAAGATGTTTACTCAACTACTGAAGTTTGTCTAACTTCCATAGCCTCTCTGTCACCCCTTGCTGTAACGGGGTTAGTGCTCTAGGTTTTGATCCAGCAACCTGGCTTGGAATCTCCTTGCGGTCCCCCAGGACAGACCCAGTTCCTAGGGTGGCATTCGAACTTGAAACAAGTTCCTCTGCTTATATATTCGTGGCTGTCGGCAGCAGTGTTTGATTCTCCTCTGTTCAAAAAGAACCAAATACTTGTGCCTGGCAAGCAAAATGTCCTGTGATGGAGACAGCCCGGCTTTAAAATCTCCAAGGGAACGAGGCTGCCCCCCCCCTTCTAAGCTTACACCCCACGCGGTGGGGAGGTGGGGGGGGCCGGGTCGCAGAGCCTCAGTCTCCAGGCGCTCCTGGCTCCTTCGCTGTGAACCTCGCGTCCCGGCTCTTCTCGCCTCCTCGTTGCATTCCCCTTTCACCCAGGCAGTTCACTCCCTGTCTTTCTTCTCTCACTCCTTCTGGTTCACCCCACCCTTCCTAACTGGGAAGCCGCGAAGCAGGACGGTCCCTGTTGTCCAAGTCGCGGGAGTAAAGTCCCCTTCCAACATTTAGGGGAGCTCACCACTCGCGGAGCCGGCTTTCCCTACTGACAACAGATCGCTCCCCTTTCCCATTTGTGACTGAAAGCGTGCTGGGGTTGTGACATCCGAGACCTCAGCGGGTCTCCCGCCCATGTCCCTCCCGGCCAGGCACCAGGGAAATGGGACGAATCTCTCGGACTGTCCTCCCAGAAGCTGCCAAATACCACAGCTGGCCCATGCTTCCATCTCCCAGCCTGAGACTCGGGCAAAGGGGTAAGCCCCAACCCTCCACACTCCCCGTAGCTCTCCTTGCGTAGAGAGGCCAGGAACTGGAGATAAAGCTGATGGAACTTGGATGGCCCACAAAGCTCTGGGTAGACACGCATTTTGCTGTTGCTGAATGACAGGAAAGAAGAGAGGCGGATGGACTCAAGATTTCCTTTGGCAGGACAGGGCCAAATTTGGAAGGTAGCTGTGTTTTGTACAATTTCATCTCTATGACATAGTAGAAAACCTTCAAGTCCAGTGAGCTTTTCTCTTTTAAAATTTTTCACCCAGAGATTTGTTTATATATACAAGAACTGGGGTACAGGCTAGAGGTGCTGGGGCCGGTGGATGAGAGGGTTCACCAGAGACAGAGCGGGGAGCTGAACAGGCAGATGGACTGAAATCCACTCCTGTGGGGAGCTGCAGGGGACAGGAGCCGTCTGCCAGCCATGTGGGTCACTCCTGGCCAGGGACTGAGCTGATGCTGCAGTGGCTTTGGGCACCTTCGTAGTGCTGTGCTTTAACCTGTTGTGCGGCCCCTGTGACCTTTTCTTCAGATTCCTTCCTACTCTGACATTGAGTATAACAAAATGAAGCACTACTGCACCAGTTCTAATGATTTGTTAGCTATTAAATATTTCATTAACTCATTTTATGAAATACCACTGGTTATACAGGGAATCTGCAAATTAAGATCAGTAAATTTAAGAAAATAGATCCCTTTGGCTCCCGCTACAGGTCCTCGACGGTCCCTCCCTCAGGTGGCTTGTGGTGCAGCTCACTCGAGGAAAACGGCACTTTCTGCTTGGGCGTTGCCTTCATGGTCCTGCCTTCTTTCCACCCTGCTGGTGCTGGTGTTATAAGGTCTCCCCAAGTGTCCTCTCTCTTCTGAAATGGCCTGACAGCCTTCCTCCTGTGGGACGTTCACAGCTGTTTATTCTTCCAACCACCACCATCTTCAGCCTGGGGTCCTCATCCATGGAAACAATGACACCCCGTCCCAAACAAATCCAACAGCGCATATAGACCCCAGAGCTCCAACCATCCCCCTGGAAATACATGAAATGGCAGTGGAAAGGGGAGAATCACTTCTCAAATATTGAGAGGAA